TGATTAATACTTCATGTAAAGATCATCATAAATCATTGTATGTAATTTAACATATCATATTGTTAATCCAATGTTCATTAACATATAAATGATTAAAATTTTTTACACACATTCAGCGATGACATAATACGGACTGCAATTTTTTATTTTTTTTCCTATGATACTTAAGAAACATTATGTTCTAAGATGTCTTAAATATATAATGTTTTAAAAATATAATGTTTTAGATATGTTTGAAATATCTTTTATAGATATATTATTTGATAACATAAAATTAAGCACAAATATTATATATATATATTAAAAGCAGAAAAGAAGAATAAACTCTCATAAGCTCTTATCCTGGAAAGATAAGAAAATGCGGACAGCTTACCCTACCGGATCACTCAAGTTTACTTCATTTCCGTTGATCGGCTCTCCCCTCCGTACCATAAAGCCTGCCTTCCTATGACGCTAATTGTTATGGGTCACTGACTGTACGCTTGTTACAAAACACTAGAAGATAACTCGACTTTTCAACGTTGCCGTTCTAATCAATCGTACATTTGTTACACTATATTTTTCTGTCTTAGTTAATTTTAATTTTTCTTTAAATATAAACATATTTTCCTTTTATTCGTATATTATAAACGAAAACTAAACTCAACAATTTTTTTTATAATTTTGAGATCATTATCATGTATGCAAAAATAATTATTATCACTGTTATCAAAATTTAATATAATAAGTTTGCATATAATTTTCAACGCAAATAAACAATTTGCAACTTTATGGAATAATGTAATTATATTGAGTAATATTGAGTATTATAAATTCTTTTATTAAGTAATATAAATATAATTCATGGAATACAAAATTTTGCAGTATAATTTTTATTTAATCAAACATACGATTCTTCGCTGCGTGATATCGATAAATCTTTTTTCGTAAGCTGCACTAATCTATCGCGAAAACAATTTAATCGTCACTTTGCTGATTTCACTGATTTCACAATTTGCAGTTTATTTTAACATAGATAGTCACACATTTCTGGAAAAAGATAGATTAAATTAAATTGCATATTCAATAAGTGAAATTTCCAAAAAAAATATCATATAGTAAATTCAATAAATCTTTAATCCGTGTTGTTTCCTCTCCAATCATATCAATTTGCACTTATAGATATTATCTTGCATAACTACTAGTAGCATAATAAAAACAATACCGCACGTGTCATAGTTAATTACACTATAATATAAGTTGAAAATCTAGATAGACAACTATTTTGGCTGCTACGTAACTAGTCGTCCGATATGAATGTATAAACTGGTTTAACTCGTACTCTACCAGCGTTTAATACAATGTAATAAGCACAATGATATTTCAATTTAAATTGAAAATAATGATTGATGCGCCTTTTTACGATAAAAAAAAAAGCAGTTTTAAAAAAGAGATCGGAAATTGTACCAGAATCTTGCATCGAAAACATATGCTATCGTGTTGCTGCCATATCATCAATATGTATTACGCAATGTAATGATTTGAATCACGGATACAATCAATTACATGGTTGACAATCTGACTTTTGAGCGAGTTAGCCTTCTGACGAGCGCTTGGCCTTCTTTTTCGCGCAAAAACCAATTCCGTGTGCGTCGCGATCGAGGTCATTCACACGACTGACGCACGAATGTAAATTAATCTCGTTGTCGCGTACGGTCCTACAAAGCAAGCGTTTATTTTTAAAAATGCATTAAGAGATTAAGAAATATAACACGAAGTAGTCTTACCAATACGTTCCAGGAAAAAAATGTTACCAATCTTTCTTTTTAAAATATAATTTAATAAAAATGTTATTTTAAAAAAGACTTGATTAGATTTTATTGACAATTTTTTTGCAATTCACCGTAAATAACATCGCGATTCAAATTATTACATCACGTAGAAAATATTAATATAAGCAAAAAAAAAGGAATATATTATATATATTTAAAAAATGTTAAAAACATCGTTTTTTAAAAAATGTTATGCTATCAAAATTATTCGTGACAGCAGAATTAAACAGACTTTTAAAATTTCAAGCAGATTTTCATGCTCAAAACGTATGTCGTTAAAGGATTCAACCGTCCCAAGACTTCTTTTCATTCAATTTGCATTCTCTTTGTCTCGCCAAACGAGTAAAACCAGATTTTTGCTAAATTGCACGATCGAGAGTTGTTATTTCTTGCCACCAAATGTTATTACCCTCTTGGATGCACGAAAAAAATTTTCTTTCTTTTATATCTGCAAAATTCTTCCTGACATTTGCATAGGCATGCTAAATACATTGCTGGCTTATACATAGAGAGGTTTTATATATAAAGAGCATTACATTCTCGCAAACTCTTACGCGATCACATTATATATATAAACATATATATATGTAAAGTCACGCATGTAAAAGTTACATTTTATATATATTATAAATACTTTTATACATAAATATTTATTATAAATATTATAAATATTATAAATATTTATTATAATATAGCTATGCAGGATATATAAAACCTGAATTGCTAAAATCCTGTTTAATTACATATTTAGTAGCATAACTCTTCGCATAACTGCATTCCTCAAGCAATGTGGAATTTTGGAATGTGATTGTGCCGAGTGTCAAGCAATGAATATATAAAATAACTCGTTATCAGGTAATAATAACAAGATAATAATAACAAATCAGGTTTAATTGAATAAATTGAACAAAAATACTTGCAACAATTTGGCCAAGAGATTGAAATCTACAAACAGCCATCTTTGAATCATGCAATATTTCAGTTATTATGTAAAAATGATCCATATATTTAGACCATATTTCTTAGGCAAGTCAATTACCTTGCAACACTATTATTACCTCCTTCTGTTGTCATTGCATGTTGTTGAGTGATTGGTATCATTTCATTTTCCAGAAAAATAACACTTTTGGCATTTCTTTATGTCTTGCCTCATGGCAAGACAATTTTTTATTTTCTTTCATTGTATCAATAAAATATAATCTCAAATTTTGAAATTAATCCAAATATAAAAATTATGTTAATTAAATATTGCAAATAAATTCAGGATGTTTATATTATTTATTTTTTATTTATCCAAATATTCATTTTTATTTTTTTAGTTTTTTTGTCTTCTTAACTCTGCCATTTTATATTTATGTTTATTTAGATTTTTTGTTAGATAATATAATGTCTGCAACATTAATAATAAATGCTTCTTCAAGAATTCTCTCCGTTTATTATTAACTTAGAAAGAGTATATCACGATTTTATGGCGTATGAACGAATCATATACCTTACATAGAAATCCCCGTGACATTTACATCACGGCGGCGACTGCATCTTCACGATGCAATGCTCTACCAGTCGGTGGAATGCATCTTCTCAAATGGTAATTCTGGTTGCGACACGAAGGAACCCTATAAGATATGGGCATAGGGAATCGTTTGCGAAGATCTTATCGATAGTCACGTTTTTGTTAAGAATATGTAAGATAATTACATAAATTTCGAAAGAGATCTCGAAATTCTTCGAAAGAGAATTAATTTATACAAATAAAATTATCATTTATACACAAATATAACAAAATTGAATTGAATCATGAATCACCTGACGGAATATTTAAAAAAAAACATTATTGTCTCGTTGCAACCTCATCATATTTATAGCCTTATTAAATTGCCAGCATTTGTGATGAAACTCTTCAAAACTTGAGAATAGAAATATGTTTATGGTATTAACATTGAGTCACGAGAAACAATTCTCCAGCTCGGTCATGATTCGCCCAGCCGTGATCGCTGACGATGCAGAATGCGAAGCGTTCGGGCATGAACCGACAAGTACTCTCGATGAAGTAAGTCTTAGAATTTCGCTTAGATCGAAATTCTGCTGCCATTGCACAAGAAACGCGGTTTGACGTTCTGTACGATACACGATACACGATATATTGACAGAAAATCGAATAGTGTTGACGGAAAGCGACGACTCGTGTTTCTGAGAAAAGTTTGATCTCACGTGTCTACACGTATCAATTTAATTCTTATCGAACTTGTAAATCATTCCAATCCGTCACATCATATTAAAGTTCATCATGATACCAGTAACAAGTTGCTGATGATTGATATGATTGATATAGGTCGCATAAGCAATACCTTAAAATCAATAACTCAACTTGTGCTTGAATTTTCTCTTGGAATGAAAATTTCTAAAACACTTTTTGATGCATGATATATCAAGAAAATATAATATCATTTCTTTTAAAGTGAACGAACCGGATTTTAATGTTAAAAACTCCAAAATATTTTTTTCATCGTGACAGTAATTGTTTCAATCTTAAGCAACTTGAAAATATAAACGTCATAAGTATGATTATCATATTCATTAATATTTCGATTAATATATCATATTCTTTAATATAATACACATGCTCATGGCGTACAACTTCATCGTCGCGACAATTCACACGTTATCCCTCGTTGCCTTTGTGATTAATGAAAAAGATATACATTTTGCAACTTGATTTGTGATTTCCTGATGGGCAGTAGGTAGCGTGTTTGCGATAGGCGCTAATCATTTTACGTTTCCTATACGGCGACACATTACCATTACGTCAACATTTACATAATAACTAAATAACATGTAACCGTTGACGCCACACAGAGGTGGATGATAATATTCATGTGCCTAGCAGCGCTTAAAATTAATTTCATTTTTCATTCTCCTCGGACTTTTTGATAAAATCTGAAAACTTAATTTCCATACGGACTTGTCTCCGGTGCCACATCGCGGAAAAACAAACGTATTTATTTCCTTGACGGGGGCTTTTTAATACTTTGAATCCACGACTCGTACACCTTGACGGCTCCAAAGCATTATCAATACGGAGGAATCACGCGTGCTTAATGTGGAATAATTAAAATAACGATAACGTCGAGACGGAAACGTAGGCGAACCGTGTGCTAAGGTCAGTGAAGTAAGTATAATCAACAAATGATCTGCTTCAATAACTCGAAAGTGCACGCGTGACGGGTATCCTGGTCGCGAAAAGCCTTGTAGTGCTCGGCGGTACTATCGGTTGTGTGAGCCTTGTTCCTGGTTGAAAATGTAGGTAACTGGCATAAGGACGGTCACCAGCGCCTTCGCGCACGTGTATTTACGATACAACGGACCTACCACCGCGAGACCGCGATAGATCTCCTTTTATTCCGGGTGCTGGCGTGATATCCGTGGCGTGATATCGCGTGCGCCTGCATGGCCGCGGTAGAGTGTGAAAGTGCGTGCATGATACGGGTGATAGATGTGGTGAAAACCAACGGGTAACTCTAAATGGCGTAGTCGAGCCTCTTTGTGTCGGTGCTGAATTCATTCCTCGCACCTGCGAAACAATCGATTAGATCTATGAGTAATAAGTTGCCCATAATGAACTCACGAATGGCTATTCTTTATCGAGCTGACTCAGTCTCGTCACCCGATACTTTGTTGCAACTGACGACTGATTAGATGCTAATATTTCGAAAGTTATGCTTCTCCTATAGTTTGGCAATTAGAAAACTAATTAGAGATAATCTTAATTGTTGATACGTAGCTAAGTATAGAGATAATTGTTCTTGTAGCATTTCTTGCTTGCGTCGACTATAAATTCGACAAACAACTATAGTTCTATTGTTGTCTAATGTTGAATAAGCTTATTATTAACCATTGTTAATATCACGAGTATGATTGTACGATTGTATGCATGAATAAATGTCATCGACGAAATCTTCGAGTTGCGAATAATAAGATACATCCTGGTCTTAAATGAGCGCAAGTACATAATTTCAATAATGACGTGCAATCGCAATTTGCATTGTAAAAACTAGGAATAAAAGACGGCCAACATAAAGTAAAAAAACGAGTATATCATAATACATCCGTTAACTATTTGCCATTATAATTTGATATAGACCTGACATAGAATTTCACATTATATTCAACGAACTATGACGACGAGAATGATTGCGCGTAAAAAACAATTTATGTACAAAAGTACAAAACGAAACAGGAATATAATACATCAATATGAACTTAATTAATAAGATTTAATTTATATATACTAAAATGCATGCATACGCTTTGGAAAATATTAAGCAATACAAGTTTCAACATATTTTTAATTACATCAGTAAGTTCATTAAATCTATATTGCATTATTCATTGCTCATATAATTTTGCAATATCCTTTTATTACTAGAATACAAGAAAATATATAAGATACTTAAAACATTTACAAAATAATTAAACTAAATCTAGTGCCATAATTTAATAATAATTCATGTTTTTTCCGAACAGCGTGCATCCTTATGTCTGAAGGTTTTCATCAAGGACGCAACGGATCGTCGTTAATTAACTATAATCAGGTGAGTAGTATCAATACCATGACCTAAATATTTCTTTAACTCTTACATAATACAAATATATAATATATAATATATAATCTATAATAAAAATAATTGTCTCGGTGTCACAAATTATTGAAAAGGCTTAAACATTTCATACTTATTAAATTTCACAAAACATATACCAGGCGGAGTAATAAGTGCTTTAATAATTTTAATTGCTTTAATTTTAATCAAATGAAAGGAAAATAATAATAACGGAAAAAAATAATATAAAAATATTAACAAGTATTTATATTTTTATATAATATAACAAAATATTATCCAAATATAATATTAATGCCAATTATATTTAATATTAATGCGAGTTGTTTAACGTATATGTTAATATTTTCGATGAATGCAGATATTGCTTTCGGATATCACGTTCGGGAGATTGTGTGAGAAAGAAAGTTTAAAAAAAATTGCCCGCAGTTGCGAAATGTCCATCTGATGAGATCTCTGAGAAGTACGAACTTATTGCATTGACCTTGTGGTCCAGCGACATCAATGATGCTCATTTACCATTCAAGAAGAATCGCTCGGAAAAAGTAGACACTCCTATCGAATTTACATAATAAGACGATTCAGTAAAACACGTAGTAAATCAGCTGTTAACACGCAATTCGCTGCTCGACGTTCACTGTACGCGGGTAAATGAACCACTCGCTTTGGCGTTAGTCGAAAGTAGTTCAGCAATTTCTGGAGCAAATCAGGTGCAACAAATACATCTTTTTCATACGATTTTTTTGTTATAGCTACGTAAGTTGCGGATTGCAATAATCGTCAAGAACACAGACATGAAATTGAAAGTGATTGTCTGATTGTCACGTCACGACGCTAGAAATACGATTCGTACATCAGACTACAGACCAATATAAAAGTAATTTAATTTTATCTACCGTGTAGATCGTGTTAACGCAACGTCCGTGCTTCAAGCGTCAAACGCGGTAAGAGCCAAAACGCCATAGTTTACGTAACGAAATATTAAGTATCCTGTCAAGAGATAGCCATTAAATCATACGCGGTTAATTATACATACTGATGTGCAAGAAACGAATCCTCGTTCTAGCGAACGCGCTCCCATGCCGCGCCAGAAATCAAAGCAAATCCCGAGCATTCACACGTGTTCGGCATATGTAACCGTAAAGTGATGAAGAGGATATCCCTTCGTCGTAATTGATCGCAATAAAAATCTGTGGCGCGTAGCTTTTTGCGCGGGTTTATAAATAAATCGCTCGGTAATTCTGTCTGGACCGTTTTATTAGTCTGACGCATAAGTGCGTGCGAGCACGTTGTAGACAGACGGCCGCACACTGCTTTCACCCGTCGAAGGTTGCATTCGTAATTAGATGGAGACGCGCGTATTTACAGCATTTCTATTCGCTGCTTAATTTACGTTTCTGATTCCTAGCCTCTCTTCAAGCGTTTTCAAAACGAGTTTCGCGAGGCTGCTACACATAACGTGGCCAATATACAATACATATCCCTGTTACTTCAGATTGTTCGGCAAAAAGCGACTCGATGACAGATCGAAGGTTAATGTTTTCACGGCGCGGATATCGCGCATTAGAATTCTTTTGAGATCGCAGCAAGTCATGCGGATGACTAGGACAAACTTCTTCGGCTCCCTAAGTACAATGAGTCCAAGGCTGCTGTGCCGCAATTCAACTTTCTGTCGAGGCTGTCTGTCCTCTTCGGCACTGATTGCTAAATATTTTGCACCTCATTTCTCCTCCAACGCAGTATAGCCCACGATAAAAAAGGAGAATTTTTTTTATTTTTGTCTATTATATAAGATCGTGAAAAAAATCTATTAAAGTGTGTATCAACAATATTTCATTCGAATTTTACGTATAATAAAAATTAAGTGATTAAACGTTATGAAAACATCTATAAAAGTGCGTACACTAGCAATATTTCATTTGAATTTTACGCACCTATAATAAAAATTAAGTATGTTACATAATATTCTTTATTATCACCGAAAACATTTTACTATTTATAACCTGAACATTACATCTCGATGAGATATCTAATGAGATAAATTTAACGCGAGACAAACCTACATTTTGTTTTGTGTCGACCTAAATTCATATTACACGTCGGCACTTATTACACGATAGTGCAAACATATGGATCATCATTTTAAATTGTAATTTAACTACTGTGTGGAGCTCCTTAAACATTGCGTTCAATTTATCTTTATTAAATCCTCATTAATATCTCAGAGTGAAGAGGCCATAACGTGGTCAAGTACAATCCTTCAAGTATAGTAATTTACATTAAGTATGATTATTTCATGCATCTCTCTTTTCTATAACTATATAAGCAAAATCTCAGAGTATTTTTATTTTTTAATATATTACACCGACCAATTTCTATATTTTCTGGTACAAATATAATACGTTTTAGAGAGATCACCTATCATTGATTTTCATTAGATTTAGGTGATTTGCAATTGCATAATTACAAATATATGCTACTCAGCGACCGATGAAATAAACGAAGCGCACTGAATCGCGATTAGCGCAATTAATCCGGATAGAATTTCGATCGATTCCACGGGATGCGATGGCAGCGTTCAGAGAATAATGTTAAATAACAGCATTGGGTAATACCCGATATTTGTAGCAGCGAATTCACACATGCACGCGTTCATATTTATTATCGACGATAAGTTTTCTTCCTGAAAGGAGGCCTAGTTTCCATACCAGTTCGACAGATCGGTCCTGCCTCTCAATCACCGGCTATTGACCGATCGCTATTTATGCGAATTTGAAATATTTCGAAATGTAAAGAACATTTATCCTAATTACCATACCTTTCGTGGGCTACTTAAAGAATGTCATAAAATCTGATCTCCTTTTATCAATACGTATTGTTTTAATTATATAATTATGAACAAAAATCATTTTCAGGAAAAATTCAATTTTGTTTAAAATCTATTAAAATAAAATAATTGTTCTATTATGTTTTTAAAGTTGATTTATAGCAAATATTTTATCGAGAACTTGCATATGAAATAATCGAACGAGAAGTAGCCGATATAAAAGTAGCCGACACAATTTTTGAATTCGACGATTATTGAGAACTAAGATATGAGAGGAAAATGGAAGCCAATTCCTCCACGGAACAAAGAACATTCTTATTTACATAAGAATTGCATATCTCTTGAATATCTTTATCTAGTCACTATTATCTAGTCACATCATGTTGGAATTATTGATGACTGTGTGAGTGATAATATCTTGTTAGAGAGAAAAAATCAATTGCATTGTAATTGTAATATTTTCAGTCGATTATTTTATTCCTTAATTCTCATTGGAGACTGGACACGTTATCGTAACTAAATTATATTATCAATATGATATTGTCAATATAAACAATAATGCCAATAAACTTGCTCTATATTAAAAGTATGTGATTATTGTTTTACAAAATAAATTTTCCATTTTATTCTTCAATATTAATAATGATTCGAATAATGAGATATAATAATCTTACCTGAGCACTTTAAAATTTCCTCATTTTCGATACTTTAGCAGTCCAACCTCATGCAATATAATTATAAGCATTAATGATCATCATTACTGGCTCTTCAAGTAGTCGATCTCATCTACAAATAGAGTGATATCTTCTTACGATCTTCGTCGATTCGACACTATACATTCACCAAACAGAACATCACCGAACTTCAAAATCGACCAATTCGCGCCACGCAACTTTGATCGATTCTAGATCATCCGGCTACAATATTATATTATTTATACACAGTCAATCATCGTGTACGATCTTGCACCGATCGATCTATGCCGAAACGAAATCTCATCGGCGATCTTTTGCGGCTACATCCATCTCCCGGACCTGTCGGCTCTCAGTCGATCGATAATGAACCGGGCACGATGTTTCCGTCCACGTCCTCGTTCCCGTTAACCGCCTTGATCTTTGATGCTCCCTCTTCCCTTCTCGCGGGGGATGCCGAGGATTTGATCGCGGTGACGCGCTGGATCGCGATTCGATCGATCGATCGATCGGCGGATAATGAAACCGTGTCCGTTCCCGGTTTTGTGCGGGCACGTTTGTGCGCCTTGGTCGAAAGGGTTTTCTCGGCTTACGAGACGGGAGATACTTCGGCGACTCCGCCGACGCTATGCGATCGATCGATCGATCTCGAGGCGCGATCGACGCGGCGTTTTCTCTTTCGTACCGGGCCCCCGATCTGACCGTGGGCACCGAACGTCTACGACTGCGGCTGAAATCTCGAATCCACTCGAGGCGAGCGAGCAAGGGAGCGAACGAACAAGCGAACGCGCGAGAGAGGGCACAGCGTGTGCGAGCGAGCAAAGGCTATTGCGCTATGTAGATACGTGCGTATCGTGTGCGTGCACGCCGAATGGTGCACGCGCGATCGGTGTGTGAGAGGGGCACATTTTGTTTCGTTGTGGGTGATAAATCTTGGTGGATGATAAAAAGGGCCTCGTTTCCTGTGGTTCTCCACAGACTTCCGACCATCCAATCGATTATCTCTCATGATTTAATTAATTTACTGATAATTTCTTGATAATTTGTACTGATAATTTGTATAATTGTAAAGCTAACAAAGCTACAAGGTGGAGATTTTTTGAATATTTCTTTATTTGTTCTATCATTTATATTTTTGGTTGTACAGTACCTTTTATCAAGAAAATTTAATTTAATAATTTTCTTTTCACCGATACGATAATATGTATAATATGTAGAATATAATGTTTCATAATGTTTCTTGTTCCAGTCTCTTTGTGCGTAGACCATTTCGGATGACCTTCGTTGAGCAAGTAGGAGAGCGATGTCAATTATACCCTGTATATGCATACGAGCGAAGGCGCCGCTCCTGGATCTGATTTACATGTCATTTTCCATTTTCGCTTAAGTATAGCTCGACTATGTTATCTTCATCTGAAAAGATTACGCTTAAAGGTATATAAATACCGGCTTTGCGAATCTATGAATATGGAGCAGTGTTACGATAAAATTGTGTAATTTTCTTTAAAAATAAGTATAACAAGGAAGATGAAAAATATAGCAAAGGAAAGGTAAAAGAACCAGAATAAAACGTCTGAATAAAATCGACAAGCGGGACATACAGATTATCCGCTTCACTGACGCACACGAATATTCCATTATCTGTAATTCTGAGTGTAGCTAATTAACTCTTTAACGCGGCATGAATTAACAGATAGTGCATGTAATAATAATTGTTTTGCTTGAATTCGCCAACGTTTCGCAAAAGGCTCGATAATAGTAATCCGTTTCGTAATTTTCGGACTGATTCGTGCCGTTTCATTACCCACTAACTTCCTTCTTATGATAATGTCTCTTCCTGTCGTTCCTTAACAATAAAGCTTAATTTGCGCCACCTCTAGCGTCCATTTCCGTTCTCACGTTCATTCACTAGTAAATAGATTCAATTGTCTTTTCTTCCTGGCACCTTCGCTAGTGCATACTCTTATGATGGTCGAGCGAGATAACAGAAAATGTTGAAGTTTGGTCGACAAAAAGCAAGATGATGATTTTTACGACCATCTTCACCGAAGCGTTTTATTCCGGATCCGGTTATTACGTGTTACGTGAAGGGTTACATGATCGCGAATACTGTTGGTGAAAGGTATTTAAATTTAGCCCACACATCGGGAATGCCTTGCAGGACGTGCAATTGTGTCAATGTTTCATTGTATGCCATGAGATGATCCAATCTTAAGGACATTCTCGCTAAAGCGTATTCGCTTGACTTAATCGTGTCCTACAAGTTCAGTTTAGCTTAATACCATCTATCTGTAAATTACAAATAAGATATATATATCTATGTAATTATTGTAATGATAATCTGATCCGAGTAATCTGCTTAACATTACTTTATGATAGAAGAAACGTTAATATAAAAATTCAGTTAGACTCATGGAGGCGAAACGAACCGGTTGTAATAAATATGGTAGGAATATCCCCGCCTTACGAACGAACTCGTATTTTCCGCCTTCCAGGAAGAAAATGTATGACCAACAAGAAAGAAATTGGTATCTCCGGAGTTAATAACGTAACGCGCGATTCCGTCCTTAATATCATTGCATGATCTTCAACTCAGATTGCGGTCGCTGCTATTTTCTATCTTACACGCAAAGTAAACCGCAAGAGCCGCGATATACCATTCCTTGTTCCTTACATCTCTGAGGGCATCTTGACACGTAGACTCGCTGCATTACTCAAGACATTCGCTGACAATTACAAGAGAAATGACCAGTCACTGAAACCAGACAGGGGTGAAGGTCACGCTAGCCACAAATACCAAGTTCCGAACATGTTCTTGAACGTGCACCTGTACTTTACTCAAGAAGCTGAGCAAGATGTAAGACTCAGTAATATACAAGGTGTATCACACGAAGGATTACAAGGTCTTTTCTCTTAAAGATAGCGAGGAAATTCTTTTTGCAGTTTTTATGATTTACCAAGGCCTTTTAAATGACAGACCTTTTAAATGACATGGTATCGTCATTGATTTCACTAAAACGGGACAAAAAACATGGTACTTCATTTTTACGAAATATTTTACATTTTATTTTACATATACTAGAAAATATCTAGACAATTAATTTTTCTATAACTTTGCTTTAATACTTTTACATACTAAGAATTACATAACTAAAAAATTATATAAATGATTTATGAAATATATCATTTTTATATCTTCCGTATGAAATTAAATTTAAATATTTTCTTAAGTATCTTGAAACAATATATTGATTTCTGTTCGAAAAAAAAGTTCATTAAAAATTTATATTGATCTGAATTTTGTCAATTTTGTCAATTTTAACAAAGAATAAATACATTTATAAGCAATTAACATAAAAAATTTTTCACAACATTAACCTGAGGGCACATAAATGATAAAATTTAATTTCTTATTTATTTTTATTTTTTAAATATTTATTATAATAATTTATTTCTAAAGATATTAAATTAAAAATATATTAATAAAATATATTAAGATACAATTAAAATTTTATTTTAAGTTGAATAACACTTGCCTTAATCTTTCATATTCCGTTTTTATTCTTGGGAAGATCCCGTGTTGAAGCTGCAATAAGCCACCACTTGACTTTCCTACATTCACGAGAAATAAGTGCGCGCAAGATTTCGCAGCTGCGATCACCGCAAAACGATGCGGTAATTATCAGGCACAATGGCGAGAAAATGAGTGTGAAAGGGTCGTGTATAACGGGCTGGACACGAAGAACGCGTTCTGCGTGAAATTCTTTCCTTTGCGGCGTATCTTTACATCCTAAGCAACTTGAGAAGTGCATTACACCGATAAGATTGTGTAAGTGTATTCCTCAAGTAACAATTTTCGAGGACTTCGCCTTTACAGAAAACATTTTCAACATAATTATCAGACATTGCTGTACTAATTACTTTATTTATTTCTCATTTATTCTGATAAAAAAAATTCCTTGAAATTTAGATATTTAAAATAATAACGACAAATATTATTAATATATCTGTAAATGTAATATAAAATTTATTATTAATTATTAAATTATCAATAAAATGATGTATATATAGATAGAACTATATAAGTCAATTTAATATTTAGTTATATTAATTCTCTATTTATTTACAAAATTTAATAATTTAGAAAGATTGTTAAATCCATGAGAATATCATGGTGTACAATCAAATGCATTAATTCACTAGCTTATGGGAGGATCTTATGGAACCGGTTGTACGGACAAGATTGTGTGAGTATATTCACAGCCTTGAAAACGGGTGTTATCATAAATGTAATATCTAATGTTATGTGCTAGTCCACAGCTGCTTCCACATGACGATAGTGCTGTTATTAACAGGAGACATTTCATAATAAATCGAAAGTCCTTGTTCGATTTCGCGAGACGCGTTTCCAAAATATGGTGAACACATGGTCACATTATGTTTCTAAGAGATATTTTTGGATAAAATATAGCAGTCAGAAAATATAGCAGTCAGAATAATAATTTTTAGATAAAATGACATGTATCATTAATATTCTGCTAATTACATAGGTAAATATATTGAAAGAAGTCTGCCCCGATGATCTTGATCTTGACATATGGATCATGACTCTGAATAACGTTCAAAAGATTTTAACAGTCGCTTCTTAAAAAATTATTAACAAAATTTGAAAAATAATTATAAACCGTTTTAAATAATCAGCTCCAAATAACTTTTGACTGATTTTGATAGTAACTTGAAAAAAATCAAGGTTATCGATATTTATCGTTATATGTTATTTTTTAAAAAATTATTATCAAAAATTGAAAATAAAAAATCAATATGAAACAGTATAATATATGTATAGACATAATACACATATATTTCGGTTATCACGATCGTCATAAAAAGTTTTCTTCCACGATATTTAACTATCTCTGTAATCTCTATCACTGTGTAATCTCTATCTCTATCACTGTGATACAAGTTCCACAATATCTAACTGTCACTGTAATGGATTAGATTAAATTTTTCGGATATAGCCCCGTATGAAATCCTCTGAAGATTGTAAAAACTAAAATATAATATAAAACATATGTGTATTATGTTTATATACATATATTGCATTCTTTCACATTGATTTCCTTATCTTTAATTTTAATTATCATGATGAGCTTGAAAAGGTTTTTGCCCTTTGTGATAATTAAAACGCATGTTTATTATATCTATACATATATTGTATATTTCACAATTTCATTTAGATTTTTGACTTCACCAAAATTATATTTTTTTAATACTGCTACAAACTAATATATTTTTAAAAATTTCTTTGTTAATAACTTTTAACGAGCGACAATTGAAACCTTTTGAACATTGCTCAGGGTTATGACAATATATATCAAAATCAAGATCATTGGAGTATACTTTCTCAGTATATTTACCTAAATATTAATTATAATTGAACATTTTATTCATCGGAGATAATCTTTCTGCTGCAATGAACCTTTTTCTTGTGATTTTGTCACACATTGAGATCTAGAGATCCTGTCTTTATCAGCGAGCGGTTAAAAGCTGGAGACATCAAGAACCTGTTCTCATCTCGAAGTTATCTGCTGAGCTACATTGTTCTTCATGCACCACACGCAGTAAAGATCAGTATTCATATTGTCAACATTTGATATTTGCAAAATATATGCAAATTATCATTTGTCCTGATATATTATCAATTAATACTTTTATATAAATTAATCTTTATTCCAAAATTCATAAAATTAATTTATATACATTCTAAATATGATTAACATTAACATTAAAAGTAAAACGTGCAAAATGCATGAAGATGTGTTATCAATACTTCTATTCCCAAAATTATTGCATAACCGTGACCAATTCTCATGAATAAAAATTCGACCTTCGCATAATAAAGAGATTCTCGCGGATCGACCACTTGAGTTCGACAAGGAGGGTTCACAATATATACCCAACGCAAAACACGAAAGTCATCCATATAAAACATATATACGTGCGATGATCAAGTCTATACGCTCATCATAATGCGACGCGTCAACACGTAAGCATAGGCGTCAACAAATTCCTTTCATGATGTTACAAAAACTCTTAATAATTAAATACAAGTTGAATCATCTATTTATATTTTATTTAAAATGTATATTTAACAAACATTATAGCATAATTCAATAAAAATATTTAAAAATTCTGATACTAAGTAATATTAAGATAAATAAACTAATCTATTCTCGAACGCTAATATATGTAACTAATATATGTAACTATTCATTATCAAACGTAATATAATTTCTAAAAAAATTTCGTATAAAATTTCATATAAAATTGGAAAAAGATTTCTACTTCAATCCTGATATTTACATACATATATCTCGAAAATGTAGAATAAAACTACAAATGCAGTTTAATGCTATGTAATATGTTTGATGTTGCCCCCCGTTGCGAACGCCCATGCATGATCGGAGGTCTCGTCCCCCGGAAATACAGAGAAAGAAAACGAAGGCGGAACAGCGCGCTGCTCCAGCTGGCCGTGTCGAATCCTCTTGGCGGCGAGAGCCACGATGGGGCTGTTTCAACCCCCTCGCTTTTATCGCGGCGCAGTCCATCATCATCCTCGACGACTTGTCAACCTCATTATGCTCACCGCGTCCCTGGTGATCGTTATTAGCCGGCGCAAGTGCCGGCCCCGCGATGCAAACCGGAGGCGACGTAACGCAATTCACCCCGTGTACGCATGACGTGATGGGGGCTGTTTGCCCAGGAGAAGAAGGGCTACTGCCGCCGTGCCGTCACCGTCACGGCGGTGGCGGTCCGAAGCGTGACGCAGCGTGACTCGTTTACTCACCACGGCTGCACAATGTACTCGTCAGTGGCGTAACCGGCTTGCATTGCGTTACGTTGTATGGTGAGTGTAGGCGTTCTGCGTTGCGTTAGGTCGTCAGGAGAGCAAGCTTAGCAGTAGCAACTTCTGAAAACTATGATAATATCAGGAGAAAACGGTATACAATGTACCGCTTCGCCCGTTTCATTTTTCTTCATTCATATCGAAAAATTAAATCTGCCTATAATTACTACCTGTCTTTAATTTCAATATTTAGTATGTGCATAAAATTTCAAAAGCGAATGATAAAATCTATAGTAATACAAGATCGCAAAAATAACGATAGAAGTTTTCTATCGAAAAAATAAACTTTTACTATTGGAATAGTTGGTAATAGGTAGGATTACTTCTCGTAGAAGAAATATCTTACAAGATTTATCAACTCTAAAGATGGCATTAACGAATATTCGTAAATCGCGTGCGATGATAGGCGGTTATAGTTTTTTGCAGGGCCATACGAGAACATCAACGCAGGCTTTGGTGCTCCCACGATACTGATTGATTACGCGACGACCGCCCGGCAGCCTCTCTCACATCGTCGACGCGGCGTGGCGGCCGCTCGTTTTGTGCGTCGGTGAAAGGGAAGCCGATGCCTTTTGATACGGACGATGTTGGCCACTTGTACGAACTCATCGCTGCCTTTGATTCCGTTCCTCACAGCAATGCCATGCGCAGACATGCAAGATGGAAGAATTTCGTACTAGAGATGGCAAAATTCCGAGATTAGTACAGCTATTATCAACATCTAAATACATTTTTTTAATAGTATGCTCAAAAAGTTTCTTTATTATTCAATTATCCATATTTTTTTGCATAATTAAGATCTATTTCTAAAAATAGTTTTTCCCTTGAATGATAGGTAATCGTATTTTTTTTCATATATGGAGACTTTTGGTACATTTACATATTGATATGAAACGCTATTGCAAGTGAGAGATAGAAATAGGGAGAGAAAGAGAAAAAAATTGAGGAAAAATAGACTTAAAAACATATCGCGTCAACAAATATATATTCTAGTTTATTTGGTTTGTTTGGTGGAATGGAAACATACGTTTCATACATTTCGTATTTGGGGGGTGCAATCCGGATGATGAGATACTGTGCCGAATTTCCCTACAAGATTACAATTGGCAGAATCAATTCTTTGTGACGCCTCTCACTATTCTGCGCGGGTCCGTTACGCGATTACAATTAGTTGTAGCCCCCTATTCTCTGATTACATCGGTACGAAGCTTGGGGACAATCGGTTCATTGTTAGTACATAAGCTGCTTTGACCACAAAGATAAATTTTGTTACTTTCAGCAACATTTCAAGGTTTATCTTGGTAATTATGAATATTATTATTATAAAACTAACATTAGCAATAAATAAAGAAAGAGCAACAGTTACAATAATATAATAATTGATATAAAAAGAAAAGAAGACTTTTTTATACTTTAGATGCTTTATATTCCTGTGAAGAATAATCAAATTTTTCGTAATTATACAGCACACAATAAATTGTAATCTGCTATGATCGACCATTCACTTGGAAAATGTCGGTTTCTATCATAACCGATATATCCACGTGTTCGTTCGACGAATAGCCCATCCGCTCGTCGCAAGTATGCGATAAAAGCGAAAAAAGCCCTTTGGCGAAAGGACCGGGAAGAATTGTCGTCTCGAGAGCACGTAATTCTGTGTTGAGATCACGAGACCGTCGGACAATATTGTCCTCGCGAGAAGTAATGTTGTCCGTTCATTCATAGAAACTCTTGAAAACGCGGAGACGATTCATCCTGACTATGCGATTCTTCCATCTCGAACGAAATTCGACAAAAAAAGGACTCGGTAAAATCGCTACCGTCCGACCGAACTTGGCTTTATTATATTACAACAATTTTGAGTATTACAGGTGAATTATAGAGATGTCATACTTCCTTATTGAAGCAATTGCTCGATAGTGACGAATCGTAGGTAAGATTTCTATAAAAGCGCTTGGCATTCATTCGAATCCTTTAGAGAAGAGTCCTGCAGTCCTGTGGGACGAGCACATAGACCTCTTCAATTTATGCCCTCAGATGACAATCGATAATTGTAAACTTGGGCCCATGTTGCTTGACAAAAAGGACATTTGTCAAATATGTATGAGCACTTCATTTTTCAAAAGAAGATATACTCTTTTAGACCTTATAGAATCATATATATCTGTTTATTTTGATAACGTTCGCGCTTTAACTTACAAAAGATCAGTTTCTATCATTTGTCATATATCTATGTAAAAATAATTTTCGAATAAATTATCTTAAATTTGCTTATTTTCAATATATACACCTTTATAATAATAATATATACCTTATAATATACATCTTTTTTAAAAAAATTCGTTTATTCGATTTTCTTTATAATAAAGTTGCTGTTAAGTCACTTATTACTGTCAGAAAATATAGATCATCATATGAAGATCATCAATTGCCAAGACTTATTTAAAATGTAGCATTCATAATAATCACTAAAAATTTTAAACTTTTAATTATTTTTTTTTTCTTTACTCAAGAAACGAGAAGCTAACGGACAGAGAGCTTCTGAAAAGACTTAAAGTAACCTGCTGAGTTTCCCTGCGAGAACTGCCGGGTGCAACGAGCCACCTCGAGCCAGATCATTGTCATGTCCGCTGGTCTTTCGGGGGGAATAGCCATCTCGTGAATGCCAGTCCGATGCCAGAGTTTTCGGCTCGGACACAACCATAAGTAGAGACCTGCACGCTCACTGGCGGGTCATTCGTTATGGTTACTGCCGTGGGTCGGCTCCAGTGAAATCTTTGTCCACTGCACGATCCGATCGCCGATGTGATAAACATTAATGAGTATTGATGTTGGAGCGCCAATCCGGGCCGGTCATCGTGATATCGCGACCGATGGATCTCTTACGACATAGTGATTTCTTCGCCCGATTCAATCGCCGGCCGGCGCAATTAACTGTGCCATCGCTTGCGAGGGAAACATGTTGTACGTTTGATTCTAATATCTATCGTCTATATTATAAAATACATACCGCATTCAGTTGCATTTATGTACGTTTACAGAGTTTAGAGTTTAGTTTATATCATATCTATATTTTTTATATTGTATATTTTATATTAACATTTTTCTATTTTTTATTCTTGGATTCATGTATATATATATATATATATATATATATATATATATATATATATATATATATATATTATATATATATATATT